CTGCCTCAGCCTCCCAAGTAGCTGGGATTACAGGCACGCGCCACCATGCCCAGCTAATTTTTGTATTTTTAGTAGAGACGGGGTTTCACCATGTTGGCCAGGATGGTCTCAATCTCTTGACCTCATGATCCACCTACCTCGGCTTCCCAAAGTGTTGGGATTACAGCCGTGAGCCACCACGCCCAGCCTATGCTAAATATTTTTAATAGCCATCTGGATCATTAGATAAATAGAATTGTTTTAGTTGCATTTACAAATAATATTTTCTTCTTACAGGCTGGCAATAAGAGTTTTTTGTTTTTGTTTTTGTTTTTGTTTGCCTTCTAAAATTTACATTAAACGTACTTGAATTTTTGCTATTGCTTCAAGAATAAACTGGAACTGACTCTTAGGAGGCAGATTTGTGAGTTAAGCTCGTTTGCATCTTGTATTTCCTTCAAAACAGGCCTATTTTTTTTTTTTTTTTGACACAAGGTGTCGCCCTGTCACCCAGACTGGAGTGCAGTGGTGCGGTCATGGCTCACTGTGACCTCTAACCCCTGGGCTCAAGTGACCCTTGTTTGTCAGCCTCCCAAAGTGCTGGGGTTATAGGCAGGAGCCACTGTGTCCAGCCCAAGCCTAACACTTTTTTAGGAGGATATCTGTACAGCAGTCCCTCCTTATTCACAGTTTTCCTTTCTGAGGTTTCAGTTACCCATGGTAACTGTGGTCTCAAAATATTAAATGGAAACTTCCAGAAAGAAACACTTCATAAGTTTTAAATTGCATGCTGTTCTGAGTAGCATGATGAAATCTGGTGCTGTCCCATCTGGGATGTGAATCATGCCTTTGTTCAGTGTATCCACGCTGTGTATGCCACCTGCCTGTTAATCATTGAGTAGCCATCTCTGTTAGCAGATTGACTGTGATGGTATCATAGCGCTTGTGTTCATGTAACTCCTATTTTACTTAATGGCCCCAAAGCACAAAGCAGTGATGCTGGCATATTGTTTTAATTGTTCTATTTTATTATTATTTATTGTTTATTTCTTATTGTGCCTCATTTATAAATTAAATATAAGTATAAATATCATAAGTATGTATGTATAGGGAAATACAGTATATATAGGGTTCAGTACTATCTGCAGTTATAGGTATCCATTGGGGGTCTTGGAATATAGCCCCTGAGGATAAAGGGGGACTGTTGAAATTCATATTGCAATCATGTGCTACCACTCTTGTCATTCCTTTACCCTGATGTTTTTGTTTAACATTTAGGCAATTTGTTTGTTATATGTTCACTTGTATTTTTGGTATGTTGTTTTATAAAAGTGCCTTTACTTTTTCATATACTGCCACTGCCACTAAATGGTCAGGAACCTTGCCTTCTCTCTTCTTGTGCTGCATGCCTATGATTGTGCATGTGCTTTGGATTTTCACTACCTCATAATGAGTGACAAAGATGTGAACTCAGCGTTATCTGGGCCAGGGTTTTGGATGATATAGAATGAGATTCCTGGATTTATCTTTCTGTGACTTTCAATCATGAGCAAGAGGAGCAAGATGAGTTCTCGTTGGTACCTTTCTCACTGATCTCAAGTACTTTGTTATATCTGATCTTTAGAGATCGTTAGCTTTTCCACACAGCCCATCTTCCTGTAGTAGATATGAAATGTATGTAAATCGGTCTTTTTCTGTTCTGTTTTCTCTCTCGCACATATACATCGTAAAAAATATAAGAATTTTATAAAATACTTATAAAAAATTATCATGTAAGGATCATTAATGAGTGTTTATTGTATAACACAGATTCCCCGCCACTGTATGTCTGAAGATAGCAAATATGTTTTAATACAAATGTTGTGGGACAATATGAAGTTACATCAGGATCCAGGACAGCCCTTGTACATTCTCTGGAATGCACACAGTAAGTGCCATCATAGAATGCTGAGTTGGTTCATATGAGAGTAATCTCTACTTGCTTTAAATAGCCTAAACCAATGTATAACTGACTTTTATTTTACTATACTACTTTTTGTCTTACAGGTCAAAATCGTACTCTTTTGTTTGAGAGTGAGTGTTTGATTTTTTTAGTGCTACCTTCTATGGAGGTCTAAGGGTTTTTTTTTTTTTGGTTTGGTTTTTTGAGGGGTGCTGTGTATGTGCTGGAGGGGTTGGTTGTGTTTTGCAGAATTCAGCTTTCAGCACATTGCTCATCCCAATTTCTTCTTTTTACTTATGTTTTGTTTGTTTCCATCCCAGGCTGCTAATTTAGAATTTGCATCAGAGGCTGTATTAAGGGAAACAGTATTTTTAGTTATTGTCTATTTAAGACCACAGAAAGCTTTAGACCTTTTTTTTGTCATTATTTGTCTTATTTTTTGCTTTCTTCATTCTTGGATTCCTATTTATCTATTGCCCTTAATTTATTTTTAGTGCTTTGTAACTCAATATCTGTCAGTTGCTGCTTAATTTCTTTCTCCTTTCTACACAGAACATTTTCCTTCATCTGTTGTTTTGTTCTTTTACAGCCCAGAAATATCCAATGGTCCATTTATTGCAAAAAAGTGATAACTCATTTAACCAGGAACTGTTGAAAAGTATGGTAAAAAGCATTAAAATGAATGATGTCTATGGACCAATGAGTCAGATTTTAGAGACACTGAATAAGTGTCCACATTTTAAAAGACAGAGGTAAGTCCTTCTCTTAGACAAATACATTGTTCTCCTAGGCAGATTCATATTGTTTGCTTAGTAATTTGTTAGAATATCTCATGCTTACAATAGCATTAAAATTTTCATAGGGAACATATGGACTATATGGATACTAATATTTTCTCCATGACTTTTTCTCCCTAGGAGTTTATACAGAGAAATACTGTTTCTCTCACTTGTGGCACTAGGAAGAGAAAACATTGATATAGGTAATTTAGCTTTATATATAATATGTAGTATTTATATATCATGGAATAGTTTTCAGAGTATTTTTATATTAGTAGTTGTACTTTATTAGTAATAGTAAATCTGTAATTATATTAAGGTAGATTAGTTGTTGCTAAGGGCCAAGAGGTGGGGTGAATGGGGAGTGACTGCTAACTGGTATAAGGTTTCTTTTTGGTGAGATGAAAATGTTCTGGAATTAGGCAGTGGTGATAGTTGTACAATCTTGTGAATATACCAAAAAAACATTAAATTGTACACTTTAAGTTAGTGAATTGTATGGTATATGGGTTATATTTCAATTTTTAAAAGTTAATCTGACAAGAAAAGGACTAGTCAGGAAAAATTATTTAACTGAAAGGGGCCGGGTGCGGTGGCTCATGCCTGTAATCCCAGCACTTTGAGAGGCCAAGGTGGGTGGATTGCTTGAGCCCAGGAGTTTGAGACCAGCCTGGGCAATATGGTGAAACCCCATCTCTACAAAAAAAAAGAAAAAAAATTAGCCAGATGTGGTGGCACATGTCTGTAGCCCCAGCTACTTGGGAGGGTGAGGTGAGAGTATCATTTGAGCCTGGGCAGTCGAGGCTGCATAAGCCATGATGGTGCCGCTGCATGCCAGCTTGGGCTGTAGAGCAAGACCTTGTCTCATAAAAAAAGAAAAAATCAACAGAAGGTGATTCTTTTCTAGAAGCTACTATAATTACATCAGGGTAATGCTACCAGGGGAAAAGCTAGAAAAATCAATAGTACAGAATAGGGAGTCAGAAATAAACATAAATGTCTACGGCAATATATCAGCCAGGTGCAGTGTCTCACGCCTGTAATCCCAACACTGCGGGAGGCCAAGGCGGGCAGATCATTCGAGGTCAGGAGTTTGAGGCAAGCCTGGCCAACACGGTGAAACCCCATCTCTACTAAAAATACAAAATTAGCCAGGTGTGGTGGTGCGTGCCTGTAGCCCCAGCTACTCAGGAGCCTGAGGCAGGAGAATCACTTGAACCCAGGAGGCGGAGGCAGCAGTGAGCTGAGATCATGCCACTGCACTCCAGCCTGTGCAACAAGAGCGAAACTCCGTCTAACAAAAAAATATATATATAATATATATAAATATATATAAATATATATTTTATATTTATATATACATATAAATCAGTTAGGAAAGGTAGACTATTAAATGGCATTGGGACATTCATTCTAGCCACTTGAGAAAGATGCCAGAACTTACCAAAATCATGAATAGTGTTACTTGAGGTAGGCCTTTTAACTATAGTGAAACAGAGAAGATACCAAAAAGGATTACTCAGATCCTTGTTACCATCCCTTTATTCCCTACCTAATACAAGCCCAGATTGTAGTCAGATATTACTCTAGCCCTCTGCCAAAGGTGGGATTTCCTTGAATGTGTAAAAAATTCTGGACCTCCAAGCTAGAGAAGCTCACTTGCTTATGCACTTGACTCAACTCAAACAAGCCTTCATGGGTACCACTGTGGTACTGTTTCAGAGAGGAAAGATGTTCTTATGGCCGTCACCTCCCCAAAGCAGAAAAATAGGATCTTAGTGACATTGTTACAATTCATACCCCATTTGGCTCTCTGAGGGGCAAATTTTCCTCCAGTATGTGTTTAAAATAAGCAATAAGTTAGCATGATTTCTAGGCTGAGAGAAACTTTTAGCAGAAGCGTGTAAACCTCTGTTGTCCCTTTTTGTCACATGTGGACTATCTTCTGGGGAAAAGGCACACAGACCTTGGTATAATGTCCTTAAAAATAAAAGTCACAGTCTGTTAGCTCCATCTGTTGCCATGTGGAAAAGGGAAAAGAAAAATCCTTACATGGTAATTTCAGATCTTTGGATTATTTTCCCAGAGGTATCCCATAATATAGGAAGTTAGGACACACAAACCAAAAAACATTTCCGTCGAAGCAAAATTTAAATTTAAAAAATGAAACCACAAAAGGATTAGTGTGAAGAAAATATGGGCAAAAAAACTTTTTGTTAATCCTGGTGGGAAAAGGCTATTATATATTTTTACTGTTTTTATTGAGTATGCAAAACAAAGTACCAAAAATGTGCATATGGTATTTGGTGGTTTTTAACATCTGTACCTGGTAAAATTAAAAATTGGCATCTTCAAACCTTTTAAGTTTCTCACTGGTCTGTGCAATCCAGCTGTGGTCCTTTGGATAGCAGAAATGTCCTAGCGATTCCTTCTTGGCCTCTACTGTTGTGTTTCTGTAGTATTACAGAAACTTGATAGTTTTCAACATCAGACCTAAATTTCTTTATCCTTTTATTTCTTTATCAATTTTTGCAGATGCTTTTGATAAAGAGTACAAGATGGCGTACGATCGTCTCACACCTAGTCAAGTCAAGAGTACACACAACTGTGATAGACCGCCAAGTACGGGGGTGATGGAATGTCGAAAAACCTTTGGAGAACCTTATCTTTAAGATGTATTTGTATGTGTATTCAATGTATATTGTATAGTCAGTGTATAAAATAACACTTTTAGACTCTAAATATTTTTTCTTCAATTTTTGAAAATACAATTTGTAAATGGTTCAAAAGACTCAGACAGCTTATGTACAGAATGTTTGAAGAAGAGAATAGTGACAAGTGGGGAGAAAGCCACTTGGTTTCTCGTTTCTTTTTTTCTTCTTCTTTAACTCCCCTGTAATAGGAAATAAAGTATTTTTGTGATGAGGAAATCCCTAAACAAAATTAGTTGCCATAAAATATGACACCCGTTTTATGGTTTCTCTTGGAAGAGACAGATTGAAAAATCATGAATAGAATCTAAACAGAAATGTCAGATGAAAGTATTTCCTGTTTTCATAGACTATTCAAATGTTTTGACCATGAAATTGTATTATACATATTTTAAATTGTTTATAGTAAGTTGATATTTTTTTAATTTTAAAATTTAATATAGCAAACTTAAAATGAATTTAAACTTAAGCAAGCAAGCGTGTATTTTCCTTGTCTGCTGCTATTTGAAGTAATTAGTACAGCTGCAGATCTCTCTGTGTATATCTATCTATTTTTTTTTTATTACTTGGGAGAATGAATTTTAAAATGTCAGTGCTAGTGTCAGTGTTGTCCTAGGATTGCATGTTAGTACCCCTAAGCCTGAGTGCAGTCATGCAAGGGTAGCGTGCACTGCTCAGACTGACTCATGGAGCCTTGTGCAAGGACAGCCAGAGAGGTTCACTATACCACGACTCCAAAATTGTCTCTATTGCTAATAGATGCATATAGTATACAGGGAAAATAGCTTATAAATTCAAATATCAATTTAAATTTTAATATTCTACATGAAAAATTATGTTGGGAAAATGCAGACAAGTGATTATATTCTAAATTTTACCCTTATTTTAATGTCTAAAATACTGGGTATGATGCAAATTATACTAAAGAATAGTTACCTGAAATATGAGTTACTGGGGTATTCCATTAATACTATACATAAATATTCAGAATTTTTTCCAAAAGTAGAAAAATTCCCCTCTAAAAGTACAGCCAGATAGACTGTCCTCCATATTGAGGAACTTAGTTTTTTCAGCAAGCTTCAGAATCTGAAGTCTGTAGAATCTAAAATACAGAAATATCCAGAAATCAGACAATAAATTGAAAGTTTAGACATCATGAGTATTAAATAGGCTTTAAAAATGTATTTTTAGTCATATTATTTCTAATGTCACTTTCTTTGGGTAATTTCTGGTAAGGAAAAACATCTTTTGGCCGCTAGAATTATTTATAGATTTTCAATATGTGTGTGTGTTTGCACACATTACATTAGTGAAGGAATTCCCTAGCCAGTTTTAAAGAAGGAAAAAATGGATAGTCCCAAATTAGGTGTGTAAAGCCAGTAGAGTCCACGACACTTGGTCTGGAGGTATCTTGGAGTCCTGAGACTTAGAATCAGTTCAGCTGCAGAAAAACCCACCTTTTGAGTTCACACCATTAGTGAATAGCACCAAGCTGAAACATTTCACAGCTTTCAACTCTGGGAAATAATGGAGAGAATTTAAAAATGTAAAACTTCAGTTAGTTTGCGGGCTGAACTTGTTTACTTGAAAAATCTGGTGCTAGGCACATGTATCTGCCTCTCCGTTGTAAATACCACTCCAATCTTATTTACTGTTCATATCTAAGCTTCATGTTCTATTTGTTCTTCATGTTCTTTAAATCATTTGAAAGTTGTCAACTGAGAGAAACATTTGAGAGGGGAGGCTTTTGGCACTGGTGATAAACATCCCTCCAAGAGAACCCTCTGGGGTTCTCTTCTATTTGTGGTTGGTTGTCTTTATTCTCTTTCAAAAACAGCTTTCATTGTTGTTTACTTTTTGTGTAATACAAACAAAATGTAGGAATCATAGTTTATTGATTTCAAATGGCTGACAAAACAAAAGAATGAGATAAAACCATTCTTTATGGTTTTAAGATTCAGACTCATTTGGAAAAGCGAATGTAATTTTTACCTCCTCCTTCCACCCCAAGTTTTCTTTCTGCTTTTGGAGAGGGTTATATTTCCCCTAATTTTAATCCCCAGGGAATATTATTGCACAGATTTAGTCTTTTAAAATAAAACCTAAAACATGAATACAAAGTGGTAAACCTGTTCAAAAGAAAAGTACAATGTGAATCATTCTTGAGCTGGGTGTAGTAGCTTATGGAGGCATGTAATCCCAGCACTTTGGGAGGTCAAGGCAGGGAGGATTGCTTGAGTCCAGAAGTTCGAGACCACCCTGGGCAACATAGAGAGACCCTGTCTCTACACAAAAATTATAAAAATTAGCTCGGCATGGTGGCTCATGCTTGGTAATCCCAGCTACTCGGGAGGCTGAAGCAGGAGGATCACTTTGAGCTTGGGGGTTTGAGGCTGCAATGAGCTGTGATCACGCCATTGCACTCTAGCCTGGATTACAGAGCAAGACCCTGTCTCAAAAAAAAGAAAACAGAAAATATCAATCATTTAAAATAACTCTATATAAACTTTTCTTCTATTTTCTGTTAACCGTACATTTTGGAGAATAATGGCCAATCATGTTGGAGAGAAATACCCTTTTGCTACATCATCTTTTATTTTCTTACTCTTAGTTTTGTTTACATGTTTAAATGGTTGACAATAAACCATGTCCTGTGCTGATGTAGCTTGTTTACTACGTCCTACCATTATGTTCTAAATGACACACATTTGTATTCCATACCGTATTTCAGATATTCTACTTTTTCTTCCTAGTGTTAGGTGGAAAAATATGCAGCTGTTCATCTTCTGATTTTTATCTTCTTTTCCCTGACTTTCTTGGGGTTTTGGTTTTTGTTTTGATCTAAAACCCTAACACCACCAGCATATTTAATTGTAAGGTTTTCTAGTATGTCTCTCCATTTGTGTATTTAGAGAAATGGTCCCAGAAAACTTTGCTTCAACATTTTAGGCATTAAATACTTATTTTTACTTTATGCTGATAATTACTATGATACTTAAGTGCAACCAGCAAGTATTAGCCAGCTCTATATAGAAGTTATGCTCTATTTCTCAATATAGGCTGAGCTCCTGGAATCCAAATGCTCCAAAATCCAAAACTTTTTGAATATCGACATGATGCTCAAAGGAAATGCTCATTTGAGCATTTTGGATTTCATATTTGGGATGTTCAACCAGTTTGTGTTTTTCATATATTCCAAATTTCAAAAATATCTGAAATCCAAAACACTTCTGGTCCAAAATATTTCTGATAAGGGATACTCAATCTCTACTTTGTAAGTATGCAGTATGAAAATACCTATTTGTTTGGCAATATGCAGTAGCCCAGCTTTATTTTTATTTCTCTCACTAGAACTTGAAAGCTGCTATTTGGCACTTTATCTCAGAGCAGGAAGAGAAAGAGTAGGCTGTCTCTCTGAGAGGACCCTTGTCCTTCGTGCTAAAGTTAGCATGCGCTGCCTCTTCCTGTCTGGGTACAAGACTAAGCTTTATTTCAAAACTGAACTCTCTAGCAGCTGCATACCAGTTTACCTTAATATCCTCAGTACTTGGTGTCTTAACATCCTCATACTACCTTGCTCCTTTGGCCTCAAAGTAAGCATATTTGCTGGCTTATTTTTCTTAACAAAATTAGCAGTACACAAATTGAAGAATTTTCATCTTTGATTACAAAAGTCTGCGCATGTGCTTGTAGTCTGAGATGGTCATAGATTCTTCTGATAAAGTTATTGCTGTCTTTCCACAGTTCCTGTTCATTTGGACGGCTCCCTCCTTTACTATTTAAAGATTTTCTTTTCAAATGTAGTAGTATGATAAAACTATTGCAGCAACTGGTGGATTTTCTGCAAGTTAAATTCTCCAGGTTTTGCTTGCTCATACAGCGAAGGGCCTAAAGACCAGAAGTGTGCCTTTAGTTGTGCAGGCAGACTTGGACCAGGATGTCCTGTAGGCTTTAGTGAACCCCCAAGGATAGGCAGCTGTGCTCATGAGCCCTCTCATTACACCTTTCATAGCGTCCAGTCCCCGTACATGTTGCAAGCTGCACTGCTGGAGGACCCTCCCACCAAAAAGAGTCAGAACCAAGAGTATTCATTGGCACATAAGGCCAACCAATTCTTCCTGATTATTTACCAGGCTGTGCTCTAGATAATACATTCCAATTCCTGCCCCCTTTGGTACTCAATCTGTAAATAATATTGATATAGGCAGCTATAAAAGACTAAGCCTGTAATTTGGTAAAACCATTTTCAAATCTATTGATGACAGTGCAATATAATGTTCAAAATATATAGTAACCATTTTGGCTGGGTACAGTGGCTCAGGCCTGTAATCTCAGCACTTTAGGAAGCCGAGGAGGGCGGATTGCCTGAGCTCAGGAGTTCGAGATCAGCCTGGGCAACAGGGCAAAACCCTATCTCTATAAAAAAAAATGCAAAAATTAGCTGGGTGTGGTGGTGCACTTCTGTAGTCCCAGCTACTTGGGGGGCTGAGGCGGGAGGATTGCTTGAGCCCAAAAGGTGAGGCTACAGTGAGCCATGTTCATGTCACTGCACTTCAGCCTGGGTGACAGGGCAAGGCCCTGTCTCTTTAAAATAAATAATTAATTTAAAAAAGATAAAACATTTAAACACATAACCGTTTGAAAAATTTGGAATACATCTCTTTTTTCTGGTACTATATAGAATCGTAACCCATTAAATTAGGAAGAATTCAGAAATCTGGCCCAAACCTATTACCAGGGCTATCAAGGAAGTGCAGCCTAAGGGAGTTGAAGTCATCCATGTAGCCACTGACTTCTAATTCAGATACCCATGTGGGACAGTTCAGACTTTCCAGGCTGAATGAACGACCTAGAATTTGTCACAAGTAACTACATACAGAATATTCTGCCTATAAAGTGAGAGGACCATCTCAATATTATCTTGACACTTTTAAATGGTACTTTACCTCTAAAACAGCATGATTTTAATATTACAGTAGGTTTGTAAATGTGTGACCAAAAATTTTAATTTCCAGGTATAACCAATTAGTCTTTTAAAAGTTACGCAAGTTTTCCATCTCCCCAAAGTAATCTCTGTCTCTCCCCCAATGAATTCCTACTCATCCATCAAGACTCAGCTTTCATTTTTCGTACTTGTCCTTTTCCGTAACACTGTGAAGTGATCAGAACTTCCTTTCTAGGCAAAGGAGTATGCCAGAAATTCAGCAAATTGGGAAAAGGATGTCAGATTATTAGAGTTGGTTTTTATCATTAAATGGATATTTCAGCCATTTATCATTACATAGCATTTTACGGTCCATCACTCCTTACTCAGTCTGAGGAAGAGCATCAGATCCCAGGCTGTGGATGAGGAGGTGGCATCCCCGAGGCTAACTGGAATGGGCTGTAGACACCAGGTCAGCGTCCAGAATTTTGGTATAGGGACCTCCCTCCCACAGGCATTGCCTTCTCCTCCTGTTCTTAGGCCATGGCTATGGAAACCCAGCATTGCAGTAGCATCAGGAATAAGGATAATTAAGAATATAGAATTGGAACATGATTCCATACTCTTCATCAGTCTTCTCGGGAGGATTCTGACCAAATGACCTAAAGATAAGGATGAGCCCATCCATGTTGTAAAGTAAAATACCATTGGGATTCACAGTTTATTGAAATTTAATAAAAATTATTTCCAAAGAATGGGAATCCTGGGGTAGCGAGGCAATTAATTAAGCAGTTCATCTTAAAAGATGGAATATTTGGAACACCTTAGCCATCGTTCAGTGCCAAAATGTTTGGGTTTTTCACATCACATCCGTCCTTTTCATCTTCTCATCTTCAGTGAATCATTCCTCATGTTTGTAATTAAAGCCATATTTACCATCATAATATGCAGTCACCCGAGCTCATTTTGCTCTGAAGTCAGTGATATTAAACTGTTCTGTTTCTAATGTGTCCCTTAACTTGGTTCTAGTAAAAGCAGCAAGCAGTGATATTTAACATACAAACTCATCAAATTCCACATAAAATATTTAACCACATTTTTAAAAACTCAAGTGTCCTTTACACTAGCTACCTTGGAAGTAGTACTGCACTTTTTTCACCATGTTGTCATTGTGTTATGCATTCTTGGAATTTCCTGTTTGTAACTACCTTAAGGTCCATTCATAAACCACAGAAGAAATCAGTCTTGCTTTATAATCCTATCTAGGTTGACATACAAAAATAGTATTGCCCCACTGGATCTCTTACTTTATAAACCAGATGTGGCACTACTGACTTTGGACTCTTTAGAATGACTTCCCTTCCCACTCCACTCAGCTGTCATTGTTGGGTGAGAACATGCTGGAGGGTGAAACCAGGACAGCTGGCCAAGGGTGGAGCCAGGACATTCCATTAGAATGTCTAATCCCTCAAGGTGACCACTGATGGAGACTACATGAATTTGGATGTTCTAATAAATACATACTTTTAAATGGCCTCTAGAGTAGTTTTACTTCCCTAATCTCCACTCCTTCCAGTTCAAGGGCAAATTACAAATTTTTATTTTTCAGGCTGCTTTTTAAATTTCACTTTTCAGAAATGCAACAATAAGAGTTAAAGGTAGTCCTCCTTTTAAGCTAGAAAATACTGGTATAGGCCAGGCGCGGTGGCTCACGCCTGTAATCCCAGCACTTTGGGAGGCCGAGGCAAGAAGATCACGAAGTCAGGCTGAGGCAGGAGAATCGCTTGAACCCGGGAGGTGAAGGTTGCGGTGAGCCGAGATCACACCATTGCACTCCAGCCTGGGCAACAAGAGCGAAACTGTGTCTCAAAAAAAAAGCAAGAAAATACTGGTATATATCCAGATGCAGTGGGCTACAAAACGTGGGATGATCATTGATTCCTGTTATACTTCTTTTTTTTCTGTAGCCTTGGATCCTTAAACTCACCGATAACTGAACCTACAGTGATTACAAACCTGATAGAACCTCACATTTTGAACAGAAAAGGAGGCAACAAAATTGCAGCATGTGTTTGGGGCAGAGGTTGGGAAGGCTGAGATGTAGACCACAGCTGCATCTTTTGGGCCAGCAGCCCTTCAGGAATGATCAGGGAACAGTGAGCATAGGAGCTTGTCTTATAGCCGCTGCGCCTATCCCAACCTTTGCCCCCAATTATCTCTCATTTAGAAAACCCTCTGGCTCCAGGGGTCCTTCTATTGCCTCCATGTAATAAATGTCTGCATGAGTCAGGGGTAGAAACTCCACCCCTCCAGAGGTGAGGTTCTTAATCCACAATGAGCTGCACATGTTTCCAAGGACAAACCTTAGTCTCAGATCACATTCACATCAGAGGTTCTAGGTCACTCAGTTCACTTTCCAGGATCATATACATTCTTTCATTAGTGTCACAAGAGATACAATAACTTCTGCGTGGTCTTCTGATCCATGTCCATTGTGAGCAAGAGTGACTTGACTCAGACAGATACAGGACAGGATATGATTCGATCTTCTAACATCACACTGATTATCAGGAACACAAAGTAAAGGAGGAACATTGTGAAGCCCAGGATCTTGTTCATTCTCCATTTACATGACGCAATTGAAGAGATCACAAACAGAAGCATGAGAAAAAGCAAAACAATTGCACAAAACAAGCCATTGCTGCTGACTGGAACTGGCTGTAATCCATTAATAAG